CATTCAACGACCGTCGGCCACCCACCGCTGTGGCGCTGTAACGATTTAGTATCTAAGTTGCATAGGGGAACAACGCATTCTGGGTGTTTGTGTACTGAATTCGGAAAGCGGTAATAAACATCAAACATGGCTGCCGGATTAGTTTACCGCAAGTATTTGTAATTGAATAATATTTTAGTTATCTTTTCCACGTACTTTTTTCAATTTATCCATTTTTTATGTCTAATCTTTCGAGAACATAGCAGATTCTTTTATTTTGCCGATTGCTAGCATTTTTTCTTGAATTCCAAAAACAACGTGTGAAAACGCAACGTATCGTGACCGTACATGCGTAAATGCCGCCTGTCGGCACGGGTGAGTACTGATGCCACAAATAAAAATTTTTATGAGTTTTATTTTGACAAATTGTTCGTTTGGGCGTTGGGGACAAATCACCTCGTATATTTTCTACATTAATGTTTTGTACTTGCTTTTGGTTACTTGAATTCATGAACGCAGAATAATTTGCGAACGTATAAATCACCGATTTTAAACTTTTTGCATTTCGTAAATATTAATAGTGACCAATCTGTATTTTAAATAATTGTAACATGTTTCAATTAAATTAAAAAGAGAATAGTAAATAACTTAGTGTGTATTGCAGTTCATGACATAAATGCTAGAATGCTGTATGTAAATGATATGCAAATTAATATGCAAATTTATGCTAATTAGGCCGCCCACCAGCTATTTTAGATTGTGGAGAACACTGGTTCTTCTTGGAACAAATATTCTGATTAGTTGTTTTTCGTGTCAATGCGTGGCTTTGACCAATCAAAAGCATCGTTACATAATATCAGGATGCACACAGTAAAATGAACTGTTTCCAGGTCACTGCTGTTTTTAATGAAGCAGACATCAACAAACTTTCGATTCGAATGAAAATTCTTCTTCTAAGTATGCATTTTTTTATACATAATTCTATTATTTGATATAGTAACTGTTAACTGCACATCCAGAATCTTCTATTGTGTAGATTTTATTTTATTTGATCATCTGCTTTTTGGTGCCAATGACGCACATTCATGCAAGTTTTTAATGAACCAATTACGAACGTTTGTGCGAGATCATAAATTTGATTTTGCTTGGTTTCCATTTTTTCAACGTGCATGCCAATGATGCACATTACTAATTGGACACTTATTTCAAGCACTTTAATTTCTAGTACCAGTAACTGTGTTTCAAGCCATTGTTCTTTCTCCATTCTGGTTATACATTATTGGCAATATTTTACTTATACGGTGAGACGCTTAGTCACTGTCGCCTTTATTTTAAATTCTAAGTAAATGACCTGTTTTCAGACAATCTAGAAAGTTATACAAAAAGTATCAACTACTAGAAAACATTCACAGTTTGCCGTACGATCAACAGAAAAATAAAACACAAATGCAACACTTAGTAGTAAATGATCACGGTAGCAAAATCCGGTCATGCTGCCTTCCTCAGTTACGATTATTACTCAGTAGTAATTATAATAACGTACAAAAAATAAAATGCAAGTAAAATTTAACTTAAATTTTATCGTAAGTGAATGATTCCGGTCGCATGCAAACTCTTGATACGATATCCGCCTGCTCTGTGTTTTTTGACCTGATAGGTCAAGTCGTTAATTAACCAATAAAAATGCTGGATGATGCCAACTATGATCAAATTACCATAGCTCATTCAAATAATGTATGTTAATGTATGAACGCAACGCAGAAGAGATTTGCCGATGTTTGCGATCTTTTGGCTTTGATGTCGGTGGGAAAATGGCATGATTTTTTTTTAAATTAAGAAATTGGTTATTTTTGGAAAGTTAAACTGAGCATTTAAAAAATAATTTAACATTGTTTACTGTGATAACAGCTCATTTGAAACAGAACATTTTTGCGTAGTTTCAATTTCGTGTTTATGGACTTACTGCGAAATTCGCTAAGTTAAAAACAATGCGAATATTTTCTACCTTTACAGTAGTCAAGAAATTAGTTGTTTTTGAAAGATGAACTGAGCATTGGAGAATTTTTTTTTTTTTTTTCATGGTGATAATAACTCACTGTTGAAACACAGTTTACCTATTCACGCTAGACACAATAAACATCATAATCTTGAAGAGGAATCAATTACTACGAAAAACCTAAATTAGACTCTAATCTCTAGAGATTATATGGTACATAGATAGTGTACAATAAAATTGTGTGGTTACAAAATTGCCCTTTTCCATCTTGATGAATTGTAACTACTATACAAATTATTATACAATAGAGGATAAAAGCACAAGGTTTCAATAATTTCACTATGTTTTATTCCAGGTAACAATGATAGCATAGTTGCTGTGAGTACTGGTGATAACGAAGATCAAACAAACATACCCAATTCACCAATTAGAGCTCCAATATTTCAGGTGAGTTTTGTTTTGATCAGAGTCACATGTAAATTGTGTTACCATACTCATCTACAGTAAGCCTGTACTCTGTAGTAAGACCCAATTGTATATAAATACTGTATTTTCTGAAAACGTTTATCGTAAACCGTTATAAATTTGCAAGAGACAAAGTTTTGTGAGTCTGTGAAAATTTCACCTGGGTCTTTTGCAAACTTTTGTCCTTAATAAGTGATTTTACGTTCACTGCCAGATTTTTTGTATAAAAGGAGTATATAAATTTTGATTGAAGCAGACCATGAACATTTTTTTTTATTAAGTAGTTAACTGTCTTGGGCATACGGACGGACAAACACTACTATTACACACAGCTCCAGACTGACATGTGCATGCAATGGTCAGCAATTATACCCCTTGATTGAAGCTTTAGTGACATACAAAAATATCAGAGTTTTGAATTTTTAAAACCAACAAAGTGCATAATGGTTAGCGTGTCCACCTTAACATCAAGGAGATTTGGGGTTCTCATGGTCAGCTGCACACTCACTATTATCTGTGGACATAAATAATTCAGTTATACTTTTTATTGGTTCCCGAGGACAACTGACATATGAGGAATACATGCACATATTTGCATGACTTGTGCTGTCCTTCATTTCTCAGTCTGGAAATCATAGTATGAGTGTTACATGTATCGTCGATATGATAAATAATTTATAGATGTATTTTCTTTTTCTTCTAGATATCAAATTCAAATACTAGTTCTCTTTTACGTCAGCATCAAATCCAGTTTGGAAGCCCAGAAAGTCAACAACCACATCAAGAAAGCAGAGATTTTCTTTCATAGTCTCCTTAAGAATTTTGTGTAATATTTGTAAATACCTATCTATAAAAACAATAAGACTTTGGGGTAAATTATACCAAATTTGGGTTTTATACCATACCAATAAAATCATGATTGTAGTATTTCCTTAATTGCTGTTATATGGAGACTATAATTGGTCAGTCCTGCCTTTACGTAGTCATCGATAGTGATAAGGAATGGAATGAAATGAAAGAACAGCTTGTTCGTTTTGTTATCATCATGTTGGAGAGTGTATCAATGACCATTCATGCAAGAAAGCTGAACATTATTGGATTAGATGAATATTAATATTACCACTTAGCACCAGTGCCAGTACCTGCTCAGTTTGGCTATAAATTTAATCCTATTCCCTTATTGTCAAAGGTGTGAATTCAATAATTCTCTCAAACAGTACCATTTTAAAATGCATTGCAAGCAAGCCTGTATGTGGTGGTGATTTTAACTTCATAATGTATAAGCGCAACACAATCTTTGTGTTTTGTTAGAGCGTCTATCCTGTTACGACTAACCTGATGTTTCTACCATGCACGTATTGTACAGACAGGGTCAGGTTAGCACCATGTGTTTATGTTGTGTATCTGTCATGTTTTAATGTCCCATGGTCTAAGAAAGACTATTAACACAGGATTGTACACAGGTTGTAGTTTGATTATTTCTATGACATAGTACACTAAGATGGTCCCTGGTTCTTATCTACAGGTATGCTTTAACACTGAATGGTTAACCTGATGATTTCTTAAAATGATTTAAATGCTTTTTATTCTCTCCAAAATTGAGTTTCTTTCATTTCATGGGCCCATTAATTTATAAATATGTGCAAAGGTTTTTATATACAGTATGTGAGCGGATGCAAGCTGATGAATGCGGTACACATGTTGAATTGCCTGCAATGATTATGCAATTTTCATGTCACTGGATGATTATATTTACCATAAAATACAAATTTTCATGCATTTCATGGTTGCCAACGATTTTGTGAATTTTTTGTGTAGGACAAATCACAAAATATAATTTTTTTTTATTTCTGTCTTAATGTTTTGTGTTGCATTATTTGAGTTATGTTTACAGAATAACAATGAGTGTTAGAAACTGTTAATGAGATATGTCAGGATTGTCACACTCAGTCATACCTTGATTATTCAACTACTGTAGAATACTTTATTGTCCCCTTGGAATTTATTTTCGCTGAAGGAGAGCTTTTTTTCCTATATTTCACATTAAACTCATCAAAAATCAGTGAAAATAAATTCCATGCAAAACGCCCAAAAAGCCTTTTCAGTGAAAATTAATTCCAGTGAAAATAAAGTATTCCACAGTATGTATGTTACAAATAACATTCAATGTGAATGGCTGCTGATTTAGTGCGAGAACCATGTGACTTGTTTTCATACAGTGTTCCATTCTTGTCCAAAACATCTGCTGTCTCAAATATTAGGCTTACAGGGATCAGTTGAATAGTAAATGGGAGAGAATGGAGCATTATTTGGGGGTAGAACTAAAACAAGTTGTGTTTCTCTTACTTTCAGTGACAATTTGCTAGTTACCTCACGTTTGCTGTTTACCTGCTATCTTAGTAACCACTGTATGTGAACTGTGTTAATTTTGCTTCAAATAATCTTACTTTAACAAGGGTCGCTGTCAGAGAGTATATGCACCACATTATGGCTACCAGAATACTGTACTCATTAATTATTCAAAGGGTTTTATTTTCACCTGATAGTTGAAATCTGCTGAATTAAATCCACAGATTTGTAAAATTACAATTTAAATATAACTTGTTTCACTGGAAAAGCAGTGAATTTACAATGTGGTAAATTTGATCAAATTCCAAAAGTATCAATGAAAATTCCTGCTTTTACGATATTTTTTTTTTGTAAGTTAAATATTTGTACATGTTAGCATGTACTTTATGGCCAGTTATATTTTAACTTTAATTTTCGGAACTTGTGATAGAGACTGAGTTGATAATTGGTCACGTACAACACCAGCTGAAATACTAATCAGACCGTACATAGTTTTTTTTAGATAATCTGAAAATTACATATATTCAGGTTAAAACCATAACTATTACATTGAATGATGATCTTTGCGCAGTTTTAAAGTCTTGTATTCTTAAATACAATTACAACAACTTTTCTTTTGCAACATGCAGTGATGCTGCTATTAGTGGTGTAGGAATCTAGGTAACATACAAATATAATTTTCTCCATTGAAATTATTAATCAAAAACAATAGATTTTCAAGGTAATGTTTTTACTGCTTATGAATCTCTTGCAAGTAAAAGTTCATAACGTAAATTTCTTTGTATAATCTTTGGATCAAAAATTCTAATCATGTGTAATTGACTTGTGTGTGTGTGGGGGGGTTTGCACAAGATCAGTGTAAACTATGATACTTTAAAGGGCATTGTTTGTTGCGTCTTGTTGAACTTAATGCGAGTCCCATGAAACATATACAACACATCTTTTTAAATAGATTCAATGTGTTTGTTCGCACAAAATTTGATTGTGCACTGTACCACCTTTCAATGTCATCACGCTGATTACTTGCATGAGCTTTAATACAACAATGGACATTATATTTATTTTTTTGGCATGTACGGAGTAGGAACACGCAGTGAAGATAAAGTTAAGTACCACATGGGTGCACACCTATCTGGCTTTTATCATGTTTTTTATACACTGTTATACAGTGAGGTAAACACCAGCCTAATTATATACTCCATGCTGTTTTCTGTAATCTTGGTGCTTCAATGGTTTTTTTACTCGATATGTGCCAACAATATAAATGCTATAATGTTCATTGTTGTTGTGCTTACATCCTACAACTACAAACCAACAGCATTATCTTGAGTTTCTTTCCTAACCATGTACCTTGTATTTTACTAGTTAGTATGACCTCTAGTATTATTCATGAATTTAATAAATGTTTTAGGTTTTATTATTGTTTCTTTCAAATTTAAAAAAAACACATTTATTATGAATGTATTGCTGGGATTATTTTAACTAAGAAATAACTGACCGCTGGAAATAAAAAGCTTTAATGATATTTTAACAATTCTGTTTTTGTGGATATATGTCATTCTCTGGTTAAGTGTGCTGACCCTTCATTTCTCAGCATGAGGTCCATGTACCATAGTTTCTCTATTAGAAGTGCATTTCCAATAAAAGGGGCACATGAACCAAAAGTCGCATTTGTTGTATACTCAATCATTAAAATACTCATTTGACTTTTTGAACACTTCTATAATTTGTATACTGTGAAAAACTTCATTTTAGCTGGAATCAATTTTCGCTGAAAAGGCATTTTGGATGTTTGTATGGAATTTATTTCACTAATTTTTGATGAGTTAAATGTGAAATATAGAGGAAAATGTATATTCACTGGATTTTATTTTCACAGAATCATTCCTTCAACGAAAATCAATTCCAAGCGAAAATAAAGTATTTAACAGTATGTACATGCACTACTAATAGAGCAAACACTGTTTGGTAAATGAGTAAACGGTCACCTATGAAAAGATTCTGCTGGTCTAGGTATAACAGTTAGCCAAACTTCCAGTTATGGGAAAAATAAAACGTTAAACAAAACAAAAAATGTATGCTGCCCATAACTTGAAATGTGGTCAACTGTTTTTTAAAGTATGGGTTACTAATTTGGGCATGGTTTCTCATAATTGGGAGTGTTTTCTGAAATATGAGTGTGGTAATTTTTGTAACCATGTTTTCAGCATCTTGGACTAGCTATCTCATACAATTCAGCCTGATTAAGACACAATATTTTCCACTGGTTTTTCTTTCTGCTTCTCACAGAAACATTTAAAGATTAGTTGCAGGAGTCTACAAATAACACTGTATAATTATTAATTTGGTCCCTAAACAAAGGCAACTCAACAGAAATATTGATTGATCACATAAGATGGTTTTTATAGATTATGCTATGGGACTGCATAAAAGTGGACACTCAAGGCAAGTTGACACTAATAAAGGTTTCACTGTAATAAATAATCAGGACCATAACAAAGCATTAGTGGAGTGATGCATATGATTGTAGATAAAGAATTGGTTGGTTATCAAGT